CCCCAAAACCCCAAAACCCCAAAACCCCAAAACCCCTGAGATTTTGATTTCAGCTGAAATTTTAGTGTTAAAATATATTTATGTTCAATTTTTCTTCCTGCTAGATAACCGTTCATTCGATTTATTTCTACCAGATTTGGAAAGCATGTGGCGCAGTTTTTTGCCGATCAATTCAAGGTTTTCATTCTCTTTTAGAAGAGGACTTGATTTCCTGAAAACCTTTCTCTCTGATATGGAAATTGCAGGAAGTCTGAATGGGACTGAGTTCTCTTGAAATATTTCTGTGTTGCATTGAACAGAAGATTCGCTAATTTCATTCTTAAAATGAATATTTCGACGCCAGAGCTGGATTATCTAATAATGTAAGCTGAATAGAATGATCAAGCTTAATACAAGGTTGAGTTTTGCTTAAATCAATATCATCAGCGACTGCTTTGTGCCCTACTTGTAAAGTATCTGTAATTTTCTGCAACTGCTCTAGCTCATAATCATCAATTTCTTTGATTGAGATTTCTACATATTCTCCAATAGTATCTACTACTTTTGGGTGGTAGAGCATTTCAAGCCAGAATGTTTCTCTTAGCATTGGTCTGATGTCATATTTGTTTGCTAATCTTTTCAAATATTGAGCTAGGTGAAGTAGTTCATTGTCTTGCTTATTATCATAAAACGGTAGAATTGGAATTCCGTTATTATTCTGATGCCCAAATGATAGAGACATGTTGTCTATTAGAACTATATCTTTGAGGTCCCATTGGTCTTCGAAGATGTTAAGGTCTTTTAGGTAGTACCTATCTCTAGTCTGCACTCAACTATCTCTATAGAGACGCTTCTCGATGAACTCATTCTGTGGGTCAATGTAATCTAGAATTTTATCAGCATATGTCTTTTCAGAAGCTGTGAAGATTATTATCTGATAATATTTTCGGATTTCTCTCAAAGACTCTTTTACAAAAGGTCTTATGTTGATGGGTAATTTAAGTAGATTCTCAGGGTCTTCGTCAAATATAAGCACAGTATCCGCCTCAATAGGCTTGCTGCTTCCTGTATCAGAGTCAATATTCTTCTCGTGGAAGGAATGGATTAAGGTTTCGTCAAGATCAAATACAGCTAATTTCTTCTTAGTAGTTGAAGGGAGTAGCACTTTCTTGCTTTTGTACTTATCTCTAAGTTTTTGATTAATTTTAGTATTGAGCTTCCTGGCTAAAGACTCCTTAACATGCTTTTGATAGTCTTGCTTGATCCTCAGGTTTATCTTAGGAACACATTCTTCTTCCTTTTCATGGCTGAATTTTTGAAATACTGGATCTTTATGATCAAAGGTTATGTTATGTTGGATTCGGCTTTTCACAATTGATTCTAATGCATCTTTATAAGCTTGTCTAAAGTAGAAACCCATATAGTTCTTATGTTCTTTGAAACCATCGAGGATGCAATCTTCAAGGTTGATGAAGTTCCTTACCTCGCTCATTCTAGGAGTAAATTGATAGAACAATAAACTCCTTTGAGGACTTAGACCTTCATGAGTGTCCTCTCCAGGAAGAAGTTGCTTTACTTTTCCTTTCAATTTTTTATGGGGTGATTTATGCCCTTTACTTTTCTTCTTGAGGTTATTTCTTCTCCCTAAAGTATTTTGCAGTGGGTGAGAAATTTTCTTCTTGATGCTCTTCTTTGTTGAGCCCGTTTTTGAAGGTGAGAGATAAATATTTTCATTGCTTTTATGAATGGATTTATCCTTTTTAGAGGATAAAGATATATCTAGTGATCTAGAAAGCTTATTAGGTCTTGCTTTTAACCTATTCTGGCTTGCATCTGGTTTTAAAGATTTCATTTCAAGTTCTAGAAATGTAATTTAATCAAAAGTGGATTATAGATTAAAAAAAAATGGGCTTACTATGAAATATTTTTCTTTCCTACAAGTCAGGGACAAACTCTTACCTTAGAGATACCTTTGTGAGGATGAACAATAAGTGTTTTGTTTAAATTATGTCTCTGCTTTTTGAATGAAGTATCAAATCTTGGAATTAGAACAAGTGAATCTCTTTTAGATTTGGATAAACTTCTTATATCCTTATCTTGCCTTAATAATAAGCTATCGAAGTTACCTAAACTCAGCTCTTTTAGGGCTAATCTTGGCCAAAGATTGGGCTTTAAATACTCATTTATTTAGGCCTCTGAGCATGATTCTCTTTCCTATACATATTCCTGACCAACACTTACTCTCAGAAAGAATTTGAGAGATTAATATACCCATACGTCTGTATAAAATTCTTAACCTTCCTATAATTACCAAAATCCCTCACCTTGGGTCTTTCCTTTCTTTCTTCTTCCTCTTCCCCCCTCGCCCACCAGTCCTACTTCCCTCTTCCTTCCTCTCTCCCTGTCTTCTCCCTCCTCTTCCCCTTGCGATCCTCTACTAGAGTCAAAGAGGCGCTTAGCCCAATAGAAATCTGTCTATACTTCAGGTGTCCGAACTTACCGTTTATTTACACATCTTTGGCTTCCTTGTTCTTTGGGCGATTTTGGAAGGATTTCAGTGGGAAGAGGGGCTGGGGGGTTGTGGAGAGGGTGGGTTGGAAAGGGGGTGAGGAGGGGGGTTTGAGTAGGGGGAGTGTGAGGGGCAGGGGAGTGAGGGTTTAGGTGGATTTTTGGGGTGTTTGGAAGGGTCTGAAGGAGGTTAGAAGTGGAAGGGGGTCATGGAAAAGGGAAAATGGGGTAGAGGGCTTGAAGAGTGTTTGGAGATGTAGGTTTAGTGGTGTAGGTTTAAATACTCACCCATTTTTGTTTCTGTTGAATAAAATTTAATCAAATGTTGATAAAATAATAGGGGTTTTGGGGTTTTGGGGTTTTGGGG